TGAGTGGTATCTGCTGCTGCTGATGTCTCTCTGCAGCGCACCCGGCTGCTGCTGCTGCTGCTGCTGCTGCTGCAGCTGAGGCAGGCGAACCGCAAGAGATGATAACGCTATAGAGACAGAGTGCGGCCCATGCAGCAGTTTTATATTTGCATTTGTTAGCTGCAGCTCGACGCTAAGCAACAGCGGCAGCAGCAGAGACGAACCCCACTGCCTGCTTTCAATCACCGTGCTGCTGCTGCTGCTGCTACTGCTGCGCTGCAAGGCAGCAGGCGTAGCTGCAGCAGCAGCAGCACCTGCTGCTGCTGCACTGTTGTCTGAGCCGGTGGCAGCAGCAGCAGCAGCTGCTGCTGCTGCTGTAGCGGCTTCAGACGACAGCGGCCCTCCTGCTGCTGGCGTACATGTCGCGGCAGCAGCAGATGCTGCAGCAGCAATTGCAGCAGAAGCAGCAGGTGTGGAGGTGCTGCAGCCGCTGCTGTTGCTGCTGCAGGACTCCGCAGCAACAGAAGCCGTGCTGCTGGTGCTGCTCTCAGCAGTAGCTTCGCGAGTTGTGTTGTCGCTGCTGCTGCTGTTGCTGCTGCTGCTGTTGCTGCTGCTGCTGCTGCTGTTGCTGCTGTGTCGCTGCAGTACAATGTTGAGAAACTGCAGCGACAGCAGCAACGTCGGCTGCCGCCCCCAGCACACTGAGGCCCGCAACTCTTTTACTGAGCCCTCTATCAGCCTGAAGACACAAACCCTAAACCCTAAACGCAAAACCCTCTTTCGTGTCTTACACGCCCCGAAACAACAGCAGCAACAGCAGCAGCAGCAACAGCAGCAACAGTGCGGAATGGCGCGGCAGCAGCAGCAGCAGCAGCGAAGAAGAAGCTGCACTGCCTCTATCTGCGTGGCTTTTCTGCTGCTACGCCGTAGGGTTCAGGGTTTAGGGTTTAGGGTTTAGGGTTTAGGGTTTAGGGTTTGGATTACTGTAGACCCTCCAAGCCAAACAACTCGTAGAGGATTTCTTTTTTTAATTTGACGTCCGTCATCACTACGCTGCTGCGCCACAAAGAAATCTGCTGCGGGCTGCATGCCTCCAGCAAGTTGCTGCACTGCTGCAGCAGCAGCCGCTGCAGCAGCCCCGACAGCATCTTCTTCTCCTTTTGCTGCTGCTATTAACAGTATCTACAAGGCCCTGCTGCAGCAGCAGCAACTGCAGCAACTCCAGCAACTGCAGCAGCCTCCGAGGAACCCAGCTCGAGCAGCAGCTACTGCAGCATCAGCTACTGCAGCAGCAGCTACTGCAGCAGCAGCTACTGCAGCAGCAACTGCTGCCCGAGCCGCCGCCCACGGCGGCTGCTGCAGTTGCTGCAGCTGTTGTTGCTGCTGCTGCTGCAGCTGCTGCTTTCGTCTTTGTTTCCAACGGGCTCTCGCTGTGCTATTTCTGCAGCTGCTGCGTGCGTTTCTGCTGCTGCTGCTGCTTCTGTTGCTGTTGCTGCTGCTGCTGCTGCTGCTGCCCCATAAGCTTCTCCTGCCTTGCTACTGCTGCGGCTGCTGATACCCACCGGCTAGCTAAAGCCACTACTGCTGCAGCTAACCCTTCTACCCCCTGCTGCTACAACTACTGCTGCTGCAGCTGCAGCTGGGGCTGCTGCTGCTGCTGCTGCGCTGGTCTTCAGTCGCTTGATCCGTCTCTACACTACCTTTGCTGCTGCTGCTGCTGCATCACCTCTGCTTCCTGAGTGTCATAGGAGCGCTGTTCCAGGGAACAGTTACGGCTGCTGCTGCTGCAGCTGCTGCAGCTGCAGCTGCTGCTGCAGCAGCTACTGCTGCTGCTGATGCTGCTGCTTAGGCGACACCCATCTGTAGTCAAGGTCGAATGAACGGACTGTGACGAATTCTGCTGCTGCTGCTGCTGGTGCTGCTGCTGCTCTTGTTGCTGCTGCTGGACTCGGCCATTTGTCTCCGCTCGAACTGCAGCAACAGCACGAATAACTGCAGCAGCAACAGCAGCAGCAGCAGCAAGAGCAGGACAAACAAAAAACAAAGAAACCTCCACAAACCAACAGAAAATACGCAATAATAATTATAATAATTTGCTGCTGCTGCTGCTGCCGCCGCTACCTCATCGGGCAGCTGTCGGCAGCGCCCCCCAGCATGCGCTGCTGCTGCTGCTGCAGCAGCAGCAGCAGCATTTGTTATTGTTTTTTCAGTTTATGTCTATAATTATAAGCTAAAAAGCGCTGCATAAATTTCCACCGAATCTATTCCCTTTGTTTTCTTTGCTGCTGCAGTTACTGCTGCTGTTGCTGCTGCTGTTGCTGCCGCTGCCGCTGCAGCAGCTGTAGCTGCTGCTACTGCTGCTGCTGTAAGGATCCTGGTGGTATTTCTTTTGCAGAAGCAGCAGCAACAGCAGCAACAGCAGCAGCAGCAATAGTAGCAACAGTAGCAGCAGCAGCAACAGCAGCAGCAGTAGCAGCAGCAGCAGTTCGATGCAAGGGACAGCACTGTTTTCATTGTTGTTTGTTGCAGTTTATGTGTTTGTTTATTATTTACTTTTATTTTTATTATTTTTATATTTTATTATTATTTGTTGTATGATATTTTTTAAATATATTCATCGCTACCTTTTATTGCTTTTTTTCTGTCTTTGTTTATTACTGCTTATTAATTATATAATTAACAACAACAAAACCTACAATCAAAATGAAGCAGATATATATATATAATATATATGTATAAATACATATATATATGTACACTCAGATGTATATATATACATATATGTATATATATAATATATTATATATAATATATATATAATATATAAT